GAGGGCCGAGTGTGACGCTATTTATGGAAATAATGGCGACTGCTTGTGTGTGGACTTCGAGCCGGACCATTTTCTCAGAAATGGAGGCTCCTTTGGTCGGAACTGAACTTTGTTGGTTCTTAAATGACAGTGAAATGCACGCGTTACGGTCGCATCGCCACCGACAAATGAACACTCCCGACCAATATGGCTCTTTCAACCTATGAGGGGTAATTCTGCTCGAGGCGGATACTGTCCACCTGAACAGGACGTCAACCGGGGTATTTACGACTTCCGCTGAAAGAGGAGACTCTTGGCTTGATGCCTTTTATTTCATTGTTTTTCCGTCTGGCAATCCAGGACAATTTCCGAGTAACTGGTAACACAAGCAATCAAACGAGTTTGTGCCACTTTATAATCTAGCCACAAGACCTATTGTCATAACAAAACGCGAATTTCGCCTTCACAGTTTGATTTCAAAGGAGATGGTGAGGGCGGTAGAAACATGCTGAGGAGAAGTCTCTTTATCTTAGAAAGTGGTACAACCTCAATCGTGAGTGTTTGTGTTCACGCGACTATGTCTCTCGAAATACACAAGCAAATGACACGAAAAACAAAGCATCATCAATCCAAGAGTGTCCTACATAAAATACGTATAGTTAGCTATAAAAACTTTTTATTCGCTTGCACTATGTTTGACATAAAATACTTTAATAATACTAAATTGCGCCATTTCAGTTCTATATGATTGGAATATCCCGCAAAATTTAAAGTAAGAGCAGATTTTCAGTATTTAAGGTCTTGGTGACCTTTTTAGAGACAGCGAGACCGTTTTATAGCATGAAACCCAGCCAAACATTTCGGGTTACGATGACTAGACTCATGATGTAAGGTAGAATCAAATCGACTGGTAACCCTGCCACTGTTTCCATAGTATCCGTGTCTGTTCTGGAGTTAGACCGTCAAACAAGTAGTACGACCGTAACCAATGCTGCGTATTTTTAGGGGCGAGAAGTATCGTTGCTCCCTTAAATAAACTCCTACCGTTGAAGTAGTAAAAGTTCTTGATGCCTCTAGGTAAGATGCCAATGTCTTTCAACATGATACCCACGTATACATCCTCCCACGGAAAGAGAGGTGTACGTACAGACTGAAGATACAATCTATGTACCATATCAATAGACATAATATACCCGAGACCCACGCAATAGTCTGGGTACGTCGATTTGGAGTAGATATGTCTTGGCATGTAGAATTTCTCCCGTTTATCGCGGAGCGCAGGGTAGGACTTCGCCAAGCGACCCGTGACTAGAGCTCGTCGAGGCGCCGTGTGTAGGTACGCCAGTATCTTCGGTATGTTAACAATCATATCGTCGTCGGTTTTCATGACGTAGTGCGCGTTAGGACAGAACCGACTGGCCCACTTGAGCCCCATTACAGTCTTGATGGTCAGGTTGAGGTAAGAATCCAGGAATTTCTCCACAATCAGGTCGTCGTGCTTGTCCGCTTCCCTCTGCAGATCGCTCGGTACGCCTACGCTTTGTCCACCAGTGAGGGTCGTTACTCCGAGAAGAAAACGGACCTTTACAACGGCTGACGCTGCTGTGCTGCCACGTGGAGCTCCCCAAGTTTCACGGATGACCTTCCGTCGCTCAGAATTCTCCGGGTGAGATGTCACAAGTACCAGCAAATCAACTCGATCGCTGGTCTGGCAAGTGGTCGAATTGGGGTTGATCAGATATCTGTAGTCGTGGGGATCAATGTAAGACAGCCAAGGTGCGTAATCCAGGATTCCTCGCTTAGAATGTTTCGGGCTTGAGGCTGGGGGGACCCGGTGTCCGCGCGGTTTCATCACACCCTGTCTTTTCTTGGTGATCCAGATGACCTTCCCGTCATCTGTGTTTACTCTCGAGATACCTCGAAGTTTGGGGGAATCACCGGATGCTAATTCTGGTTTTTCGGTAAAATACTTAACGTGTGACTTCATGTGTGATTTGAACGGCGTGTTCTCTATTTTAAATCTGAATCTGTTGTGGGGAATCAAACCTTCAAATAGGAACTCCCAGACAGCAATATACACTGGCAGTAAGAGCGCCACCGTAATAAATATCAACAGCGTTTTCCGCACTGAGCCCACCATTGTTTTTCAGAGTCCCGAAGACACACTACGTATATCCAAGAACCGTTGCATCCCACTCAGTCGTGCATTACAATAGCGTTGTTTTCTACAGAAAATTTTAAGACTCGTTCTCTGCCACTCAGCCAACAGTATCATGTGGAAATCAATGAGTGACGTCAGTTTTAACGAATAGCAAGAAGTTGTGGGAAGCACTCAGATAATAGCCATCTGACATACTAAACATAGGTTTGAAGGTACCTCGTTCTTTGCCGCCATTGTTTTAGACGTGGACGCATGTAGCGTTATATTGGTACACCAATTGTCTCCTTCGTATTCCAAGTTATTGGGCAGATATCTTGCCTCCACTAAGTCTTGTCCCACTGAAAATTAAGAAAGGGGGTGGGAAGAAAACAAGCAAAACCGTGTGAAATGGAATCTTAGAACTGCTGGGGGCGGGCTGACAGTACGTCTACATAAAAAATAGGGCCTAGATAGGATTAATCACATTAGCCAATAAAGCGAACATAAACTTTCTCTTAGGGCGGATAAAGTTATTCCTGAGTTCTGTGATTTGCAAAAATGCTGGCTCTTTAACATATCTGTATGGGTTCCTGGTGTGACGTAACACTAGTTTAAAAAAAAGGAATAAAAAGTCGCCACAAGGAATCCAAAGATGAAATACATGTTTATTCCCAAGTCACTGGGTATTTCATATATGCTTACGCGAAACAAATGTGTCGGTTTGACTTCTGAATACTTGTAGCAGCTAAATAAAGTACACATTAATTCTGTGTGATGGCGGAAACCGAATCTAAACAATCTACGACGTATTCACGGGCCAAAACAAAAAAGACGGTAAATGATCACAACGCAGTTTCAGCTTTAAAGGTAATGAAACAATGCGATGTAAGTTTCTCCAAGTGCGTTGAATAAAGAAAAAAATAGATATTTAATTTCTTTGGCACCCTCTATGATTTTTTCGGCACCCTTTTAGTGAAATAGGTATCCCTGAGAGCAAATCCTTAAGCAATACAAAGCGCTGATATATTGGTATGTGCATCAGCAGTTTGAACTGTCTAAATTAATTTTTGGATACCGGATCAAGCCCTTTTTTGCCAATTTTCTGTAAAACATCTCAAAAACGGATTAAATTTGATCCAGACCAAAGGTCAGATCGGTTAAATCTTGAAGAGTATATACTTAATGTATATTAGAGTGTGTATTCCCAACTGCATTTAAACGGATGCCTTGGAGCATTTCATTGTATCTCGGCCATTTACTTTATTATGCTCTCTGTAGCTCAAACTTGATGTGAAAGGTCACGGGAGACAGGGCCCATGCTAAGCACAGATGAAGTAAGTAGCCATCATATAAACACGCACTTGTCGTACATCCCATTACATAAGAAACTGATGTATCTCTGACAGTGCACGAGAAAGTGGAAAAGGTAAATTGCCTGATGACGCACACTCGATCAATCTGTGTATGCAGCTGGTCTTAATTCAAAGACCTGCCTGTTTATTCCGCGACACGAACCATCACCAGACGAACGCAGCTGCCACGATACACCTCAAAAGTATATTGTTCTACAGCCGCCAAAAATGCGTCGCGTCATCCTGTCGACCCGACGGTACGACACGACACCACGAGGGGACGCTAGTCGAGTCGTGCCGTCGCGTCGTGGCGCCGCCTCCTGTCTCGTTATTTTACCTACGTATAATGCATTGCGTCGTGTCCTGCTGCCTTGCCGTCGCGTCGTATACTGTCTCGTCACGCCGTCGAGTCGCGCCATCGACCTGCTGCGTCGTGACCTTCAGTAGTCGCGTCGTGCCGTCGCTTCGTGCTCTCGCCTTCTCCTCATTACTGGTGGAAATAGGGGGCGTCCTTAGAGACGGAGTTAAGTTCAATACCAGTTGATACCATTTTACATGATCAAATCTTGTAGGCCTCATGGGTGCATTCCATCAGATCGTGGGATTTCTGCATGTGCGCGAGTTCATTAATATTTTGTGATCGCACTGGACTTTTACAATAAGACATGCCACAATCAGGAGGGACATGGAAATATTTCTATAAATCCTGAATTTGGGACTGATCGTTCCGGTTCGGAGTATTTCTTTCACAAAAAGCCCCATATTGCTGGCCTATTTTGATAGAGGCGGGCGGCTACATTCAGAGCTGAGTGCATAGTTTTACTATTATTTGTGGGGTAATAATTTAATAATAATTTACTCATTTATAAAGTGCAAATTTCATATAGATATGTTCAAATGCGCTGTACAATGAAGACAGTAAGTGTGAAACAATGAATACATTTAAACATGGTTGTGCCGATGGCATACAAGGGCGCCTAGGGGAACAGCCGCCAAACGACCCACATTCACCAACATCAGTAAAGGGGAGACAGTAAGAAGCAGTTACAGTTTTAGAGGTGGGAGGAAAACCCCAGAGGAATATTCTGGGTAAAACCCACGGAGTCAGGTAGGGACTGAAAACCAAATCGGGCCGGGAATCGAACTCGGGACCACAGAGGTAGAAGGCGAGGAAAGAAATACCTTGCCAACCTGACTCTCCGGAGAAAGAGGAATAAAAAAAATATATATATATATATATATATGTGCCTAACTCCCATAAAATTGAAACGAAAAGTGATTTCCTGGCCATAATCTTAAATTTCCAGTGAAAAAAGAAGACCATTCTTTCATTCCTTTTAAGTTCTTTTACGGGAGAAGACAGAGAATTTCTAAGAGACTTTTCCAGACTTTTATTTCTAAGAAAGTAGTTAGGAAATAAGTTGAAAAGTGGAATAACAAGCTACACGTTGACTACGATTTAAGTCGATGGTCCTTAACTTGCGCCAAGCCTTGAATAGGGTGATTGTAACGGCCAAACGCGATGCACACCTGTGTTATGTTAATAGAATCGATTTTTGTGTACGTGAAAGTGAAACGTATCCTTTACGCAACCCACGTCTGTGCGTCTGTGTCCCGTATATACCACGAGGCCGAATATATACGGAACACTTAACTTGCGCCAGCGTTTTGTCGTTGTCGATAAAAAGGGAAAAACTATCAAAAAAAACCCCCAAAAAACCCACAATTCTCATAAAACGAATGGTTTATTTAACATTTTAAAATGAAAAGTATGTAGGGTCTCGGAGTAGGGTGTGTTTCTCACTTGCATAACATTTCAGAGAAAAAAAACAGACAAGTGCAAATAATTAAAATGTGAGTTTATTGGCTTACCTCGACCAAAAATTCATAAACGCGAATTCGACTGCAAAAATATATTCAGTGATCTATATTCCAAGCCAAAAAAAAGTAAAGCTCTTGAAAAATCTTTTCCTGACATGCCACCGCGGCGACTTCACATTTTTTCTCACAGGTTGAGTTTAAATACAGCGTCCACAACGCTCCTTTTACAAAGGGTTGAATGTTGTTTTTAAATCAAATAGTATCGATTCTTGCTCTTAATACCAAAAACACAAATGACGTACAGTTTTACTCAACTAAATATAGCTATGTTCTCATTGTTGCCTTTGGTATCAATACTAGCGATTACCAGTTGCACTATTATTCAATTACATGTAACTTACGGTGAACACGATTATGGGTGGTCTGTGCCTTGTGACGGCAACCTATACGTGTATAATTTAAGGTATACTATTTTAAGTAACCATTTCTTTAAATGTAAGTGCTACCAAAATGTTCCCCGGGGCTGGTATGAATAGCCTCCTTTGCCGTAACGGTAAGCGGTACCTAATTCAATCGAAAACGAGTCTCGAGACCTAATGGGAATAATGTTGAACTGTCGACAAATGTCTACAAACTCTCGATTGTCAGAATTGTTGTCTAACGCACCAAAAACGTGGCCGCCCGTTAAAGGATATTTAAAGATTAAAGATATTTCTAACGATAAAATGCAAGTGAAAAACAAATAATGTATGTCTTAACCGACTCCACACCCTGTCGATGCAAAAATACACAGAAAAGTTTGATTAATTTTGATAAAGGATCTGTGGCCCAACGACAGACGGATTCACCGGTTTTATCGCGCGAAGCTTTGTTCGGTGACGTCAAGTTGGGAAAATCGGCAACGGACGTGTTGATTCACATGCTTTGCTTTTAATATGAACGTATACATGTATTTTGAAAACAGATATGATCGAGCGCGTGAGTGTCACTCTTTTTTATTTGACCCAAACTTACCAGACGTTCACATTGCACGACTTCATGGATAACTTGGACGGCCACAAATGTATCAAAGTAACGAGAGAAGCGAGTGGCAGTACAGTGATTGGAACTATACAGAGAAGAGTTTGATTCCAGGATTTTAAATCGGTTAATTTTATTGTACCGATGAATTAAGTATAGGAAGGTGGCATAACCTTATTTAATAACTTGATAAACGATTTGAGATGGTCGTGCAAAAATGAAAACCTGAAAAAAAATCAGTAAATACAATAAAAAAAATTGGAAACGATTGACGATTGTCGTAGAAGAGCCTTGCATTTTACCCCAGAAAGATTCAGCGAAAACAATTCGGGCGATAGAACGAGAACAATCAGAAATGCGCAAACTGAACCCTGAGATACTCTTTTCGGGGTTTGGGATTTAACGGGAGAGTCATGGAACGCCTCCACACGCGAAATACCAGTCAAACTTTACAAAGATGGTAGGGTAGTACAGTTGTTCCACCTGGATTTCATAACATCGGCTTGTTTGAATTTATTTCAAGTTTTAAAAGATCACCAAGACACTGCAGTTTCAAAAATGGTGATAGACGTAGATTTTAAATTGAGATTGGGTCGAGAAGTATCGAACTTGCTCAATACCGAAAGAGAGGCTAGTTCCAAATGTTATGTTATA